TTTGGGCCAGAAAGTCTGAAAATTTAATACAAGCTTTCTTATATATTGTTACAATATCAGTTGAAAAATTTTAAAAATACATAGGCACGATTTTTTTTTTATAAGCATTTAAAGTTGAAATTTTGACAAAATTTATCAAAATCTCGAAAATTATCAATCGTTGGAATTAAAAAATTATAAAATGTTCAGTTTTTATAGCTAAGGATTACAAATTCAACACAAAGGTTCTCATAAATAGTTCATACTATAACCAAAAAATCTAAAAAATATATGAACACACTTATTTTTTACAGACATTTTAAATTCAAATTTGGACGAAATTACATATTAAAAAACCTAGAATAACTATTTTAGTTATTTTGTTGTGATTGAATAATATTATTTGTGGGTACTTGAAACTTCCAAAGTGTACTATTATATATCTATGATAGTATCACGGTTTTTGTTGATGTATAACGCCTTATAAGTATCTAATGGATATTGTGATATGATTAATTTGGAATTTATTATAGGTACCTATAATAGGTCAATTTTTTGTTTAATACCATAGATATGTATATAATATGTCTTATACATAGACTGACATACCGTCACCGCTCAGAATCGTTTTTCTTATACAATGATATTATATCATTGAATTCAAATTTAATACCATTATACAGTGACCCACTTGTAACCTACTGTACAGCAGAGCGACACCCACTTGCCCACCTTTTTAAAATTAAATTGTGTTTAAAAAATTATAATTTAAGTAAAAGTAGAATATTTAAATTTTTTATGATTAATTTTTTTTTTTTTGAAATTACAAAAATTGTTTGAGGTAAAACTGTATTTTTTAAGTAAGATAATCCGATGCCGTCAAGAATGGAAATTTCACACATATATAATTTCAGTGGCTGTACTTTTATAGTTATATTCTAGTCTTAGGTGTTTAAATTAAAAAAAAGTACATTCATTTTTAACTACAAAATAATTTGAAAATTTTTGTTATTTCGACGAATAACTTAAAACATTCTTGTAAAAAAAATTGTGGCTATAACCGGTTCCAAAAGAGATGACACCAGATTTATGTAGCAAAACCGGTTTTGCCCGTGGTCGCCTGGTGTCTTCTCTTTTGGAACAGGGTATAGAAACAATTTTTTTTATAAGCATATTTTAAAATTAAAATTGTTATGTAATTCACCCAAATTACAAAAAAAAATTTAATTATTTTGTAGTTAAAAATTAATGTATTAATAAATATAAACAGTATGTATTTTCGATATTTCATAATTATTGTATGGACATCATGTGTATATTCAAGCTTTTCAATAATAATAATAAAAAAATGTAGGTAAGCATAATTCATAGATAAATAAAAAAAAAATCGCACAAAAATTGGAGCCAAATTACTTTGAAAATTATATTTTGTAATTTATAAATAATATTAAAAGGAAATCGTACACTTGTACCCGCATATTATGTTGTCTCCGAATTGCGTTTTCCTAATGAACAACATATCAAGTTTTCGTTCACCACATTTAGCGTACTGTTAGGTTTGATATTAGAGTGAATTTATACCTATTATCAAACTCTTAGGTAAGAACATTATCTGTGTTATCTTGGTCAGGGTTATAAGATATTTTAATTTTTAAGTGAATTATGAAAAATTTTTAAATATTAATATTTTACATACTGATAACTCACTCAACAATTTAAATATCGTAAAAAACTGATCGAGAGAACACAGATAATGTTCTTACTCAAAAGTTTGATGACCACACAATATTCCCTCTAATATCAAAACTCACAACACTACTTAAAACTAGTAAACGAACATTTGATATGTCGCGCGTACGTGTGTAAGACGGAGACAATATAATATGCGGGTACGACATTTTAAGATGTACAATTAACATTTACAATTAACAATTTACAATTTAAAAAAATCAGAGCTCGCTTAAAAATTAAAAACCTATGGGATTCAATAGATAAATATCTTACCACTAAATTGTATAAGAGGTCATTTCACTCTAATTTTAGAAATTATTATGATTATAATCATTATTGTGAACCTAAAATTTGCTAGTTTGTGCGTGAGAGAGAAAACAAATAGTATGCTGACGTCCTCAGGAGTCTTTACAGTTATTCATTTTTTATAATTACAACAAAATAAAAATTGATTTTGTCAATAAATGGTTTTTGTAAAAATTTCCCAATTTTTGTTTGGAATTTTCAATTATTTTTAAAAGTATTGGGAATTTTCTACTTTTAACCTTCCTAAGTACCAACCAATTATTTCCAAATTTACTACTAGAAACCACCCTCAAGAATGGGAATTGAAACAGTTTTAATACTGCAAAAGGTGGACAGAACAAAATATAGGCATGTACAAAAATAAAATAAACACATCATTCTCAAACCAATACATTCACTACTACGATCCAAATCTAAAATACCAGGGTTAAATTAATTATTCAGAATGAACTTGGAATGAATAATTTGATAAGTTGTGAGTTTGTGCAATATTGTACGACGTTAGACATCATAATATAATGCGGGTATGACAATGTATCGAGCAATTACTTTTTTAGTTTGATCTAAGAGAGCACAAGATATACTTAACTTAAACAAACAATTTTTTTTTAATAACAAAAGTAATATTCATTTTTTGTGTAGGTAGTTACTAGTTATAGTCATTTAATTTGATAATTACTTATTACCCTAATGTATAATATTACTCAAGCATAATCATTGATAAACAAATGAATAATTGTATAACAGACACAATTGGAATGCAAATTAAACAATAGAACATTTTTTACTAAAACTTACTCCTATTTAGATAAGTGCGGGTAAGTGTTATATAAATGAAAATTTAAAAATAAAATATAATAATTGTAGGTTATAAAGTATAACCTATGTTTTTCTATTAAATGTGATTTATGACTTAAGAGAGTCAATAAAACAAGAGTATCATACATATTATGCCTATATAACTTTTTTGAGATAATAAATACTGAGAAATAAAGGTCACTGCACCAAAAGACAAAAAAACATCACTAAATTAAAATAAAATATTCAGTTATTGACAAATATATATATTAAGAATAACGACATAATATACAGTAAGTACTTAAAATTGTATAAAAAAAAAAAATGAGATGTTAATTAGAAAATGTAAATATACTTTTACATAATATAAATATATTTATGTATCAATATGCTATACAGGTAAATAGTTTTACTTTAATAAATTGGAAATAATTGTCAAACATAATAGGACAGTAAATGTTAAAAATTATATAATAATTGTACAAACTCTTTTTTAGCCTTGGATATTTTAAAGACAAATTGATGATTTTAGTCAGCGCGTATTAGAATTTAAGTAAAATAAGTGTATTATTTGCTCTGTTTAATTGAGTAATTTACATTGCAAATCATGAGACAAGAGACTTAACATTTAACAGTACAGACATTGTTCGGAAGTCATAATATTTTCATTATTTTGAGTCACAAACATAAATATTATTGATATTTGACTAACTTTAAAAAACATATAATACTTTATAATACACTTATTCTTTTCTCTTTGAACAACACTAGTTATATTCATAAATAATAAGAATAAAAAAAAAAAAACGGAAATCAAAACTTTATTTTCAAAAATATTGACTATGAAAACGTTCATATTTCATTACAAATCGAGCAAGATATCTTCACTCAACATATTTTTATTTTATTATTATTCAATACAATTATTATTCAACTTCATGATATTTTTTGCATAAAATAACTAATTATTACTTTCAAATAAATAACATGAGGGCCACACCATTTATAAGAAAGTGATATCAGGATTTGTATTTGAATATAACAAGGACAATTTTGAGAGAATTATTTATTTTAAGAAGAGCTCTAGTTTTATATCCAAAATAAAAATATTTTTAGTTGCTATTATTATTGCTAGAAACTTTTACTTTTTACTACTACAGAAGTCTTCAGGAAAAAATATACTTGTGTATATCATACTGGAAAACAAAAATAAACAAATGCATCTACTTAGTACTTATAGTTTACAGTCTTATTATATGTCTACATAATCTTATATCTTACACAGTTTAGAAATATATAAATGGTAATATAATGATACCTAGTTATTGAATAAGAAATTAGTTTATCAAATAAATAATTAATATAGGTATTTAAAGATACACCTTGTCCTACCAATAATGTAATTTGTAAATCAGATTAGAAGTGTACCTAATTAATAATACAAAATCTGGGAAACAGTATTGAACGGATGAAGAAGGTAGATAAGAAAGGCTGCAGGTTCATTCTTTTTACAAAGTGGTAATTTTTTTTTTTTCTTTTACTTTAATTTTTTACTGTTTTAATTTTTAAGCCTTTGTTTTATTATTCTTTTGTAATGGGGACAACAAAATTAAATTCTACCCCTACCATAATGCCATAAAATGCAACACAACTAACTGGAAAATCTTGAAGTACATTAACTCAAGGGATGCGATAACAATCCTTTATTTTTTTAAACAAGGTAAGAGATAACATGCTATGCTCACTAAAGTTAATTATTTGTTGGACTAGTTTTAAATTGAAAGTACAGAAACTGATATATTGGTATACATTTTTAATTTAGAATTACAAGAAATTGGAACAAAACATTTTCCTTTAGAAATAAATTAAAACCATAATATTTATTGATTTTATATTGATAAATGCAATAAATTTTAATTTTAATCTATTGTTATAATTTGTAATATTAAGTAACTTTCGTAAAATATGTGAATAATTTATATTTATCATTAATGAATTAATAAACCATAGGTATTAAGCGAGGTATTAAGTGACATATAAAATATTTTACAGTATACACCAATACTATAATATATTGTCATTGAATAAAATATATAGTATAGTAATATTATGCCTGATAAATAATTTATAGCTATACTTAACAAAAAGTTTTAATTTTTTTTTGACCAATTTTGTTAAACACTCACCTGGCAAATCTTTCTTTGTCTTGGATATTATCATCTTCCATTCTAGAATATTTCTGGCTAGAATCCTCTTCATCGGATCTAAAACAAAATAATGAGTAAAATTAAGTAAATATAATACCTTATTAATTATCACTTATCACAATATTACATAATATGTGTATATAGGTATTGCAAATTATAGAAGGCATATATTATGTAATTGTTATATTATATTAATTACTAATTATCATAAATAAACTAATGTGGGGGGGGGGGCGAATTGGCCGAGCGAACTAAGACGTCGGTTACGTCCCGCAACCCGGCCATCGGCGGCACTTATCTTCGGACAGTCACTGGGTGTCTGGAGAGAGGCCGCCATCTCCCACCCGGCCCACTAGATTTTTCTGCCAAACTAACAAACACACGTGTTTAAACCTACAGTACCCTACAGACAGTTAAAAACCACCCAATGGCCTAAGTTGCCGCGGGTTAATTAATAATAAAAAAAAATGTATGTGTACTGGATAAATACAAAATAAACAACAGGTGTAAACATTTATTTTTTATAAAAATAAAACACTGTTACTGACAACAGTTATATATGTATATATACATATATCTTAAAACAGTTGGATAAGAATTAAAATTAATTCAGAACAATATATTATTTATTTAAATTGCAGACAGTGTTCAGGAGTTTACAGACAGATTCAACACTTACATCACCTTAAAAATAATTATTTCATGTTTGAATAAAAAATTAAGTGTTAAAAATTTAAAATTTTGGAGATTTTGGGAATGACCATCATTTCTTGTTTCATCTTTCAAGCAAACCACTTAATATTTAATTAACTATACACTTTAAAAATGTACATTTTTGTAGTGTTGGTTATGGAACGTTTGAACATAGAATAAAAAAATGAAATGTTTTCATTAAAACTAAAACTAATCATGAAATCAAAATTTGAAATTAATAAAACACCGAGTACCAATTTTAAATAAATAAGTAATAACCTTTTACAGACTACAGTTAGTAGGTACCATTGTATATTATATTTTTTTAAATTTGGTGATCGTACATATATTCTATATTATTATCAAGCTTAGTATTATTATACGTTCTTTCGATTTTTTTTTTGCAAGTATTCTTTTTCATCCAACAATGAAAACATTGTGTTATATGCTATACTAAATTCAAAGAATTTTTCATCATTCTGAGAATGTCAAACAACATTAATCATATGATACAAAGAAAATAATGAATTGTATAACACTACAAACAAATTATGAAGGATCATTTTATTTTATTTAGTTTATTGAAAAATTATTATTATCCTCATGGTACATTGTTATGCTAATTACAAAGAAGAACCTCCAAGTTCCGAGACACCTTTAAACTATTTCCATTTAACAATCGTTTCCTTTCGGTACATTACTTCTTATTGTAGTACTATTGGAATGTCAAAAGCGATTTCATTTTTAGGTCAATACCATAAAAAAAATGTCCGGGGGCTGATTGTTTGCGAGGGTAAGGGACACCTGTAGTAGAACACCTGGCTATCAGACCTCATGCCGAGGAAATGGTTACTTTGATATATGGACGAAGGTCAAGTCAAATCCTACTATGTATTTTTATAAAGGATTTTTCTGAAATTTATAATTTTGCAATATATTTGTAACCATATTATTTGATATCTGAAGATGATATAGAATTCTGTGACACTAACACATGTGTTATGTGAGGAAAACTATTGGCTAATGCGGTGCAGAGGATACAGCGGAACTAATGTGCTATAGTGTTCGTTGTCCTCTCCGGTCTCCAAGCATCCCAGTCTGTACTAGGCCCGCGCGCGAAGGCGTGTCAAATGCGGTACATCAATCTGAGTGTTGATAAATTATTGTGGTTCAATGTTCAATAAAATAGGCATCTATTATGGGTATATTATAGTACATTTTTCTTTATTTTTTTAACGAATTTTATACCGTAACTATAAAAAAGTTTAAAGTACCTACTTATATTTCTATAACCGATTAAAAAAAATTGTTTTAATACTATTTTAATTCAGGATAACATTTCTCAACCATAATTATTTGAATAATTCAATTATTGCGTTGATTGTATTGTAAATTTGACAATATATACCCGATATAATATGTATAGTGTATAATTTTGTACTTATTAATAATTTAATTGAATAAGAAATATGACGTAATAACATTCATATTTTAGAGTATGTTTCATATTTTGATTAAAATAGTTAGGTAAATATTATTTTTATTATTTATTTTTACTTTTTAGTAATATACGTTATTTAGGTTCAATTAAATTTATCATGAATAATTGACTGATAAGTGTACTCTTCTAAAAAGTAAAAATATTTTTTGTAAATCTATCATTTAACTATTGTTATATTAAAAATTTTAATAATGCATTCTGACAACATATCATTCTTGCATAATATACAATATTATATACTAATTGCCAATATGTAATAACTATAAAGAAAAATAATTCACTTATTCAAGAAATTATTAGAATCTAGAAGGGTCGAATGTTTTTTTATACTTGTATTACTGAATACTGATCAATATAATTGGAACACGTTAGAAGTTGTACTTACAGTTAGGTAGTATAAGTACTAGTAATTTAGATACTACATAAATTAGTTTTTATAATAATAATTAAACTGAAAACACACAACCTATATTTTTATTTATGCATAACTTGAATTATTAATATAATTACCTATCATACCATTACATACAATATTTTTTTTTGAACAATGAATGCAACCTATAAAAATATTCAAACTAGTTATAGTATTATTTATTTGTTGATGTTATCGATCAATTACAAAATTATACTAGTGATACACGTGTGTCCGGTACGTGTTTGTTTGATAAAGGTCAATTAAGCTCCGATTTTGCTACCATTAATCTAGACGAGAACTGTATTGTTTTGGGATTATATACGTATACGTAGTTATAATGGTTTACAACATTCCACACGTGAAAGGCATTATAATAGTCTAAACAGACAATTATATGTATTTTTTTTTTATATTAGCTTCGAAAAAACTGATATTTGAACAAGTTAAGGATACATTTAACACATGAGAAAAAATAAAAAGAGGTTTTCATGTTTAAAGTTGTTTTTTATATAAGCCAATCTAAAGTTTTATTTTATATTTTGTTGTTTAAAAAACAAAACTTGAAAAATCAATTATATTTATAAAATATAAAATATTATTTAAACCAAATATAAACAAATAGTACCTAACCATGAAAATATACATCTAATAGGTATCTAATAATCAAATAAACATTTTAAATTATTTCTAAGTAAAGTTTGTACTTAGTTATATATAGTATAACCATTAATAATTTACTCGATCGAAATTAAATTCTTTTTTAGTTTTGTAATTTCTAAATGATATTCATTAAATATATTTTATTCAATGTGTATATAATATATATACTGTGTCTCACTCGCCTAAAGTATCTCCGTGGTAAATTAGTATATTTAAATGCTGTTTTTTCAACATATATATAAAAAATCCAAATTAAAAAAAAATTACCTCGGAGATATTTGGGGTGATGCTTTACTTTTGGTACATAATGTATAAACACAGTCTTCCAAATTGCGTGTAACAAAAATGGTGGGAATCTCATAAGAACCGATATAATCCCAACCATTTTTGTTTCATGAAATTAGGAAGACCTGTAAATATTTATAATTTATAAAAGTTTCAATGATTAAAAACAAATAACTTAACAATATTAATATATGTTTTTTTTTTGTTATAGGTATTGCGATGGTAGTACTCGCTTATTATACTAATTATTTTACAAAATATCTACAACTGTAAAAAAAATATAAATATTTGGAACTTAAAAAAAATAATATATAACTACATTATTATCCTACAAAATATTAACTACAGCTGTTAGTAAAATTGCTTAAGATCAAGCAATTCCTAAAAAAACATTAATGTTTATTGTTTATACATTATAAGTAATATAAATCGTATAGGTAAAGCGTATTATTAACAAACAATGTATTAACAAACAAAAAAGCGGTGATTTAAGTAATAATTAATATTAAATATTAATCACTGTTGACAAAAATACATACATCTGCAGTATAGGAAGTCATCCAGTATTTATGCGAATTATTAAATATGTAGTTACAACATTTTTTTAAAATTTTAATTGTGATTCTCGAAGTAATGTTAATTAAACATAAACATATTATATTGATAAAACCGTATTGTATGTATAATGTATATTCAATGTTCAAGACTAAATTTTCAATTCTTTAAAATAAGTATACATATTTTAATTTTCAGTGAAGTAAATAGGGGTATTAGTTTAGGAAAAATCAGAAAATTGGAATTTAATTTGTAATAATAATTTTAAATATAAGTTGATACCTATTTACAAGAAATTTAATGTATAGGTATGTATTATTAGTATATTTTGCTGCAGAGCCTAGCAGCTGAATTAACCGGAACCTATTAAACCGAGAATAATATATAGTTCTAGTACGTTTTTTTTTTTACAAATTTCATAACGAGATATGCGTTATTTTGCAGTTTGTACGATTTTGCTATTAGTTCAGTTGTATAATAATAATTATTAAATGAAATAATTTTACATTTTTACAATCAATCGGTATTAATTATTAAATGTTTACATTATTAATGCCAACACATTTTAATATTTATAGCCTTATAGGAGTACCATCTATCAGTAATATTTTATGAGTTAAATTAAAATTCTACTGAACCACTCACAATTTAAAAATGTATTTATATACCTAGTTTTTAACATATTATAATATATGAAATTTCGAAACTTTCAAAATAAGAAATGTTTACAATCCATAAAAACAACGGGAATAATTGTTATTTGCATGGATCTCTAATTAATAATTTATAATACGCGTACTATACAAATATTACAAATATCTGATATATTTGTTGCAATGTTATGAAAATGAAATGTGAAAACATCCTCCAACAAGATTGTCGATATACTTTTTTGAAAGTAATTATATTAATAGATAACTAGTTAGTAAACATTTATTGATTTTTGAT